AGCAATATTACTACTAGTTTAATGATAATGGCAGTAAGAAACAGAGCCAATGAGTGAGCAAGGAGGTGCCATCCAGCAACACACTTCAGTATGCAAGCAGTCATGGGGTGCTTTCCCAAAGCTTCCCAAACCCACATCACAAAAACCCATTGCATAGATTCCCAGAGTGTCTCCTTCTGGGCCCGAAATAGAAGCTATAGCGATTAAAAGTCCTACTAGCCTAATTCTAGCCTGCAGCAGGTAGATGGCAAAGAAACTGAGTAGAGACAAAGAGATTTTCCTTAACTACATTTACTATTAAAATAACCAACAAACCCACCCTATAATCTGAAATGTGAAACCGTTCTGAAGGAAGATGGAGAAGTCTCTTGAAGTACAGTTGGTTTCCTTTTAAACAAAATGCCAGTTCAAAGTTTACTTTCACAAAGACAGCATTAATTGTAAAATTTCTAATGCTTACTAAAAAAAAAATAGCCCCTTTAAAAACTTGATATATTCTTTTTTTTTTTTTTACACTTATTTAGCCATCTTCAAATGATTTACAGCAAGACATTCCAAAGAAGTAATGTGGACTTCTTGGAAACTCCAGAGCTCATCACAACAATGCTAGTCCCTGGTAAATACCAATTTTTTACATTATTTTACTTGTTCCATGTGACGAGTTCTGCTATATTAGTGTGTTCCACATGCAGGACCACTGTATAGTATCACCCTTAGTCATATCTTCATTTGTTAAAATGTGGGGGAGAAAGAGACTCCAAAGGTTTTAAGCACAGAAATGTAAAATGCATCAGCAAGACACTCAATGCTTTATTTTATATAGTGCAAAATGACACTAGTATATACTATTTAAGAAAATATCTAGAATAAACAGTACTATTTGTGAATAGTAAAACAGACCTGATTTTGAGGCAAAATCTACTTTCTGACGAAGGCTTCAACTTAACTATACTTACATTGACTGAAGGGAGCCTTAATTACTAGTGATTGATATTTACTAATATATTGTACATACTTCTATGTCAAAAAAACCCCAAAAAAACAAATTACTTTGAAAAAGCAAGGTGATAACGATTCTAAATTACTATTACTAATGCAAACAGTAAGAGAGATAATAGCAATTTTTTTTTTATCTTAGGACATACAAATCTATTACAATGAAACCCTAATTCTCCCTATGTCTCAGACAGACTAGATTTAAAATAATAAAAGTCCACCTGGTAGAAAAAATTATATAGTCCCGTGCCTGGGGTTTCTTCTTGATAGAAACCAGCGAAGGCATTGTCAGATCTCATGCGCCTGATCTGGACCCACAATTATATGCCAAGCATCCCTGCAGTATCAGGAGATTGTACTTAATGAACCAAGACGCCCTTCAAATCTTGTATCTTGCTGGGAAATTGCTGGATTTAAGAAAAACTTGGCTGTAGGAAACCATGCAGCTTTTTCCCAAACTTTTTTGTGTCCAAGAGCTAAACTGCGTATGACCCAAGAGCAGTCCAGGGAGGGTTTGCTCACAGCTGAAGTAAAATTAACATAAAATAAAAAGTAAACATAATTTTTAAATGCCTAAATATAGAAGCATCTGAAATTTGATTCAGAATGCTCATTAAAGCATCGACTTTGCCTGCTAAGAAGGATTTCAGTCTGCAGCACTCTAGGCTGGTAGACAGTTACCATGGAAACGGCATTTCTCACTCTGCGCTCCTTGCTGGGGGGACACAAAGTCATGCATTCGCAGTTATTTTTACAGTTTTATAGATTATCTATAATTTAGAAATCTGTGCAGAGATTTGAACTTTCGTTTCACAGAAAGTACTTCCCACATTTGACCTAGGCAAATTATATTCATATTTGAAAGAAAGAAGATTCTCTTGAAGGAAAAAACAATGGCTGCAATCCTACCAGGATACTTTACAAATGCATTTTAGATGCTGTGAGGTGATATCACGGTAAAATCGGGAAAAAAACCCACAACTGTCTGCAACTAGTACAAAGACAGGCTCTATTTTAAAAACAAATGTACCGTAGCTCAGACACATCCACATCATCTTTACACATCTGGATAACTAAGAACTGAAACAATTCTAAACTGTAATTTGAATCTGATTCAATAAAAGATGATGACCCAAGAGTCTGTACTCCACTAATTAATTAAAAAGAATAAGGATACACTTCTGTCACCAAGAATGATTCAGGAAGACAAGGGTTTTCAACACTGTTAGGTCCAATATTATCCTAAAGCAAGTTCATTTACCATTAGCTGATACAAAACACAACCTATTACAATGCCTTGCACACCTGTTAACTGGGCAAATTGCTTTAGGCCAGTCTACCCAGCATGGATGCCTAATTTTTATATAAAAATCCAGGCTTGAGGACACTAGAGAACCCTTTGGCAAATAAAACAAAAGCTAGGGTAAAACAGCTGAACGTTTATGACACTATAATCCGTGACATAAACTGTTGAATTGGCATTTTTGTGCCAAAATCATTAATTCACTGATGTGTCAGACATTACAAAGTTTTCATAGCCCAAATTCAGGTAAGATTCATAAGTATCTTCTCAATGTTCTTCTTCAAGAATAACACTTTTCATAAAAACAGCATAAAAATAAGGATTAATGCACATATTCACAGAAACAAATTATGTTAACGAATTTAATCCCCAAACTGTGTAGGGCAAAACGTACTGACCCGAGAACACCCCTCCACTAAGGGGATTTAGCATCTCAGATACAGTCACGATTCCTTTCCTTCCTTCTTGTCTCTCTGCATGAGGTTCAACTTCAAAAGGCCAAAGGGTATAGAGAAGTACAAATCTGTTTCACTCCAGCCCTGTCTATAATCTGGTGATTACAGACCTTTTACAGGAATGACATTTTTACAAGTACCTTCCATTACTTCTCTTACTTTGGGAGCTGCATAAAAAGAACAGCAAGTTTGAATAATGTCACCAGGAAAGAAAGTCATTAAAGGCAGCACAACCATCCAGGGGACACATCTTAAATACCGACACATGCAGCAGAAGAGGAGTGAGGATTTATGTGGTTTAGTCTCCAAGATCTGGGTGCTTAATTCTATGCAACCACACCTATGACACGTTAACACATCTTTGGATGTTATCAAAAGGATATAGAAATTCTTGTGCTAAAGCCATTCCCCCATCAGTTATACTTAGGTCTCCTCATATTTTAAATATTCTTCCCCTGCCTGGAGAGGTTTTGTCCTTGAAAGTGTGAAGCTTTCAAATAAAATAATATTAGCTGTATATATAAATGAAGATTTACATATGTCACAGCTATTTTATTTAGGATTTTTACAAGAGGTAGAAAAAGAAATGCTGTTTAGTTAACAAATAAATCTCTTCTCTTTCAGCATCGTGGTGGGTCCTCAGTAACAACTAGAAGCTGTGGTAACAAGTAATGTTAATGTTGCTCTGTTTTTCATCACGGTAACAGTCACACAGCAGTGTACAAGTGTGCTGGGTTATGAATTTACGATGTGATAATGTTCATTGTTATGGATTGTGATCTTTTCCATTTTAAAATATGGAAAACTGCACATTTATTATCCTCTCTTCTTGTGGCTGGTTCAGTGAAATGATGCATTCTAAAACCTGAAATAAGACAACTATGCTGGGTTGTTTGTTGTGTGTATTCAGTCCAAATGGTGACAGAAAAGTGCATCTTGACTAGTATGACTCAATATTTGTGAAAAGTTTTAGTCTTATGTTAATAAACAATTGTTATTTAATGCTGTTTTCTCCTTATAGAGAAGAAACAGATATGAACATGAACACACACTTTCATAATGCTTCAGAGAAGCTGTAAGTCATTAATGAGGAGAATAAACACAGGTGCAACTTTTTGTGTTCATACAGAACTTCACTACTCACACAGGGCATCTTCTGCCCACGACAGCATAAGGCAGTACCACTTTCTCTTCACAGCCTCTAGCCCCTGACTTTACAAGAGGAAACATACCTACCTATCTGTACAGCCGCTACAGATCCACCAACTTTAACATTTCACAACCAATTCGTTTTGAACTCTGTGTCCTGACCACTCATAAAATATTTTCATGAGATCATAGAATCATAGAATGGCCTAGGCTGGAAGGGACCTTAGAGATCATCTAGTCCAACCTCCCTGTTTTGGGCAGGGACGCCACCTCTCGACTAGACCTGGCAACACATGGGGACCGAGCGGGAATCGAACCCGCGGCCTTGGTGTTGATCCTTATTGCCAGCACCGCGCTCAATCACTGACAGATCACTGAAAAGTCATTAAAGATACTACTGTTAGAGCATAAATAGCCATAAACCTGGAAGCAGAAATATTTTCTTCCCTGCAAAGTCTTGCTGTTGTCTCCTGAACCTCAGCAGTACGTGTGTCCTACAGCTCAAGAATAAAAGAAGAGTATTGTAGCCTCGCACCTCAATGTCGGGTTGCCAAGCTCCACATGCTAAACGATCAGTCTCTCCACTCATCTATCAGTCACAAAAGTCATATCCCATAAAATATCATCTTAACTTACCTAATTTTATTTCAACTCAACCAACACATTATCATACATAATTAAAAATGACAAATGAGCCATCTTCATTGCAGTAAGGTTCTGTATTCCAGAACCCAGGACCAGGACTGAGCTCAAGATTAAGGAAGACATCACATTTAGGTACCTGCATGTGACCAAGGCATCTTAGCTCCTATTGTATTAACGGAGTTGTGAGGCAAATTAGTCACCTAAACAAAGGCATCTAGCGTATGTCAGATGCTCTGGGGTATCCCAGCTGGTTTCCAGCTCCCAGCTGAGAAGGACATGAATTACCTATATGTTGTCTGTCATTTATGCAAGCCCCATGCAGTTGCTTCAGATATCCCATGTCTCAGATGACACCAGAAGCCTACCTTTAGCCAACTGAATCAAATAAAACCTCTTGCCAATGAAGTCTGGTTCTCTATGCAAATGTGGATGTCAGAAAGTGATACCTACACACCTAAATTTAGGTGCTCACATTAGAGACAAATTTCACCTTTACATCTCCTTATAGTAACTCAGCAAAAGTGAATTCTTTTAATAGTGAAGTCCAAAGCTTTCCCACAGATCCAACTGCAGATCTGTTAAGTCTTTAAAATAGACACCCAAACAGCCATAATACACTCACAAGCAACCAAAAAACCCCGAAGTTTCAAGGTTTCTTGTCTTGAGCTAAGTAAAACTACTTAATACTCCTAAAGGTCTGACTGGCTTTCTTCCTATGCCAAGATGACAGTCTAGAAAACGGCACGTTTTTATTTTTCGCTACTGATCTACTGACAAAGCAAATACAGTGGTGCTGCTGCAGGATAAATCTTGAAGTGAAAACTGACACATTACACTGATCTTTATGACATTTTCCCTTTTCCCTGGGAAAACTATATTAAAATTATTCTTAAAGTAATCTGCTTTAGAATTTCATGTCAATTAGGTGTTGGAAGGGCAAAAAAGTTCTAGTTGGTCATATGTCCGTCTAAGAGTTATTCTCCTTCACATGTTTACTAATAAAAAAAACACTTTGATGAATCACACTAGAAGAAGTTTGACTAGTTTCTCTTAAGGAGTTTTGAGAGCTACATTGTCTTGCTCTTCAATGTTGCCCATTACTTGCACTTTTGAAAGTCAAACACCCTGGACAATTATTTGAAGAACTTCAAGGAACGTAACGCATCAGCAAATCTCTTGTTGTGATCCACTAGAGAAGAATTCTCCTTTTAGTGAAACTGTTAGTAATAAGGGACTTCATACCCTGAAAGAAGGTATGTATCCACAAAATATGAAGGAATCTCTTGTGTCAATATGGAGATTTCAAATTTAGAAAGAAAGCAAATGAAGATTTGGGGGGGGGGAAGCTAAAGAAAACCTAAGACATCAGATATTTGACACAGCTGGTATTTGTTACTCCATTATTACTGCTAAGAAAGGGAAGTGGGAGAAACCAAAAATCCCCAGTCAATTACTGGTTTGGAATTTATGGTCAGACAAATTGTATGGCTACATAGCAACAATTCAAGGACAAAATTCTGTCACAGCAAAATGTGAAATTATTTGTTTTATTGTAAATGGTTTTCCATCTCAGGCATTACAAATTAAAAATTTGACTTTTGAAGTACTTGGGCAGTTACAGGAAGAAACAGGTATTTCCATAAGTTTCATAGAGTCCCACTTTTATCTGCAGGTACCCAAAGACTTTGAAAAATATTAAAGATCTACATCGTAAGTAGCTCCTTCATTGATGGATTTTTCATCTTCCAAACCACCTGTCACTTCTTGTCTATGTCCATAAAAGGGTTGCTCTTTTCCTGTAAGACAAATAAATGACCTCTTATAAACTGAAATAATTTGAGGGTTTAAACAAAGTTTTCACAGGTCTGCTTATAAGCTTTTTCTACTCCATGTACATTTAACAATTTGACATTTTTTGTGTAATGCAAACAGTTCTACTTTCATTAATCATCAAGATTTAATCTGAGAATAATTTGAATCCTAGAAGACTTTGTCAACACAGTAACAACAGTTCAGTCCAAAGCCTGAGCTACGTATAGGTAAGTCTGATCCCCACATCTAAAAACTCCCAGTGGGTCTCAGGACAAATGCAACCCAAAGCCCACTAACTGCAACAACAGCATCTCCCTTGCACAAGGCATTCTAGGAAGCTTTCCTCATCTGAAAATACAGCTTTCACTCATCGATGAGCATATACTCCAGCGGTCATGTCAAAAATTCACAACTAGGGGAGTCTTAAGACAGGCAAGAACCACCTGAAAACTGAATTTTGTTGCAAACCTGGTCTTAAATACAAGTTAACTGACATGTTGTAGGATTGTCTGTTCATCATTAGAAATTTATCTGGAGGCCTCCTTCTGCCCCTTTTCCTCTGGTTTCTATGCAGAAAAATCCTAGAATCCTAGAATGATTTGGATTGGAAGGGAACTTAAAAGATCATCTAGTTCCAACCCCCCTGCTATGGGCAAGGACACCCCCCACTAGACCAGGTTGCTCAAAGCCCCATCCAGCCTGGCACTGAACACTTCCAGGGATGAGGCATCCACAGCTTCTCTGGGCAACCTGTTCCAATGTCTCACTACTCTCACAGGAAATAATTTCTCCCTAATATCTAAATCTACCATCTTTCAGTTTAAAACCCCTTGTCCTGTCATTACTGTCCATGATAAAGAATCCCCTCCCTTCTTTCCTGTAGGCCCCCTTCACACACCGGAAGGCCGCTCTAAGGTCTTCCCAGAGCCTTCTCTTCTCCAGGCTGAGCAGCCCCAACTCTCCCAGCCTGTCTTCATATGGTAAGGTGCTCCCACCCTGTGATCCTCTCCATGGCCCTCCTCTGGACTTGCTCCAACAGGTCCATGGTTTTTTTATGTTAGGGGCCCCAGAGCTGGACACACTACTTTAGGTGGGGTCTCACAAGGGCAGAGTAGAGGGGCAGAACCACCTCTCTCGACCTGCTGGCCACACTTCTGATGTGGCCCAGAATGTGACGAACCCAGAAGGCTGTGAGCACACATTGATGGTTCATATTCAGTTTTTCATCTACCAGCACCCCGAAGTCCTTCTCTGCAGGGCTCCCCTGGGTTGTCCTGACCCAGGGGCAGGACCTTGTACTTGGCCTTGTTGAAAATGGGTGATAAGGGATTAGTCAGAACACTGGAATTTTCCTGTATCACCACAGAATCTGCTGCATGAAGGAAACTGAAGCACAGAGGATAAAGGATGGATAGTAGAGAAATTAAAAATCACTACGGTTCAATGCAAGAACATTAAGTGGTTTCACGTCCTCCACTGAAAACAAATCCCAAATAATGATATCATCAGAATGCAAACATTCTACTATTATTTCTAGTACTGTCTTTAGCTTACTTGTTATCAGGATGCCTGTTGCAGGTTAGGGCTGGGCCAACCACTAAACACTGACAGACTCTCTCTAACCCCCTCTCCCTCCCCAAACATGAAGGAAAAACGAATGAGAGAGCGGGTTAGAGAATGTCTGTCAGCGTGTAGTGGCCAGCTCAGCCCTAACCCAGACAGATTTACTGGCACCCAACGTGAACAATGCCACAGGGAAAACTGCAGAGAAATCCACTTCAGCACTTACCTTGAAGATCTCAGGAACAGTAACATTCAGATAATTTCTCACTATCATGTCAGCTCTGCTACAGGATGTTCTTAGAATTAGCCTGTATCTCTCCCACCCTTCTAGAAACCTCAATGACCATGAGGAAGATCTAAAGAAAGAGACCCAGCTTTCACAGCATCCCCAAATCAATTGTTTTTTAATCTGTGAGAGTGACCAAGCAGTGCAACATGTTGTGCAATCTCTCCACAGAGAAGTTGTGAAGTCTCTGCCTGAGATCATCAAAACCTGACTGGACACAATCCTGGGCAACCCGCTCTAGCTGACTAGGTGATCTCAGGAATGCTCTTCCAAACCAAATGATACTGGAAAAATTTCTAAAGACAAGACTATATAGAATTGGATATACTTATGACATCATCCTACAGACATAGATCCTCCAGCCCCCAAAATAATCTCTTAAAATACATGCACCCCCTCTTGGCTTGCACCAGTTTTTACTATCCTACTTTCCCTCTACCCAAATTATTTACAATTTAGCCACATCGTGAGCAATTTCAGAGTTTATTCATCCACTGATTCCATTTCTA